AACACAGTAGAACAACGACCAATACAACCAAACTGCGCATAAGCAGGTCATAACGCTGTATGACGCCTCTGCGCCAACTCTGTTGCTTTGCAGAGAAATCTAATATTATCCAGTGATGCCAAATCAGATTTAATTTAATAAAAAAATAAAAATTATGCCTAACATGGAACAAACATATTTATGTCAACGGTATGTATATTAATGAAATAACATGTTTAAGATAAAGAGCGCTATAAAAAAATGACGCGATAGAGCAAAAATATGGCGTTTTTTGGGAAAAAGGGTACTCAAATACATACAAATAAGCAAAAAACTTTCAAATATCAAAATCACTTAGACCTGTGTCATTAATGACAGCGTAAATCATCAACTTTTATGTTATAATTTAAATAAGTATGGCATAATATGCAATACATTGAACTGGACACTGTCCTACTCCACAAACAGACCATAAATCGATTGACAATGTTTTTTTCTTTTATTTACTAGTAAGTATGCATTGCAGGAAACCTCAGAATGGTTCAAACTAAACAAATTAATAATAAATGAAATTCAAACAAGTATATTTCTTTTCGGGCCACGAAATAATAAAGTTTAAGACCTGAAAATTTTAATCTAGAGAACAAAAATATAACTGAAATATGAAACATAGTTTATAGTCCTGATTAAATAAGAAAAAAGTGAAAAATACACCAAGCCTGCAGAATCTCTTCTGGATTAGATCAAACGCGTCCTGTTCGAGCATCATCAGACCTATAAATCCAACAAATAGTCACTGAACATGTCTGATTTCCATCTTTCCAGTAAAGCCCTCGTGTTATCACATGTATCACCCTGATATTTTGGAGAGGTCAGGAATTTTTAAATTTATTAAATTGAACATGATGATTCGAAACGAGATCTTATGATCAGACTGCCATACCCGAAGAAGTCAAAAGGCACATTACATTGAAATAGGACAAAAATTTCCCAACTGGATGGGCATGTTACCAAATTGTCTAAAACATCCAATAATCTAAAATCATTATCCTTAGATTTAAGCACATATTGATTTTGTTTGTTTTGTCTTAATGTTTAAGGTAAACCAAACTTTTTATTTAGTACAGTGAGTATTTTTTGATTGGTTGATTATTTGCCCTAACGGGGCATCACAGATACCGTGAACTTGGATCGTCAACTTTAGTCACTAGACTCATTTAACATGAGCGGAGCGAGTGCTTAATAAACGATTGCCTAAAGAAGTTTATCCACGTGTTCCATACTATCGCCAGTAGCCGTAGCTAAAATCTATTCTGGAGACATCCAATCACTCCCAAACCTGGAAACGCCCGAATTGTTTTTACAAAAGATTAATAACAAAACAAATGCACAAACAATTAAAATAAATTACGAAAAAGTTTATGAGAATAAAGAATCTAACCAACTTTGGCTCACTAGATATCGATTTTTTTTGTGTTTTAACTGCTTGTAATAACGAGTGGAGTTTTATTTTCCTTTTCCGTTAAATTAAATTGAAATTTTGCGAATTTAATTCGTATCGGTGATTATTTTAATGCATTTCGAGGAACATCCGATAAATATGAACAGATGCAGACGCAGCGTTTTCCAAGATTCTGAGTGCTACCTTTTACAATAAAAAACGTATCGAATTTCTTTTTCGTTATTTTTCTGCTTAATTAAATTTCTTAAATACCACCGGTACGCCTATGGTTAGTCGGAAAAGTAACACTTAAAGGAGGTTACCGCTTCCTATTTTTCGACCCGGAAAATAAACAAAAATTGCGGAAAATGTATTTCTACCCCCGCCATCGCACATGCTTCCTCCATATACTCCATAGTCTCATCGCATGCCTAGGAATATATCTTTTATTCCGGCGCGGTTTCGTTGCCTCGATCGTTGCTCCTTAAAGTTCATATTTCTTTCACGCGAACTCGGAAAATATAACACCCTCCGTGTTTGAAAATGAGCCAGCGCGTCGAACCAAAAACACCCCTATTACCGAACGGACTTAGGGGCGAGTATCGCGTCCGCCGCTAGTAATTTTGTAGTGTTAATACAACATCGAAATGGCCACTAATGCTTCAAGGTGTCTGCTTTATGTGCATTCGGCACGCCAAGGTTCGGGCATAAAATATGGGGAGAAACACGGAACTGTGGGGGCTGCTATATCTATACTTGCGGTCGTATATTCCTGCCTCGTTATAAAAATTCTGTCGTTTCTGCATACAACCGAAGTAATTACGGGGCAAAAGTTTTCTATATTCGTTCGTTTGAGGTCAGGACCACTGTCACTCGTTTTTGGAACCTCTACCTCTCCCACCTCTCCTCCATCACTATTTTCTTTTCCTACCGCCTTCTCTGCCCCATTCCTTTGTCTTTTTATTGAGCACTACTAGAGTTTTTTTGAGAGGGAGAGATTTAAAAGTATTAGCACTCCCTGCTATACCTGACGAAAGAGAGAGGGGTCATTGTTGATCAGTGATTTTGAGCTAAAACAAAAACACATACACTACTAAGTTTTTGCAAACCTTTAGATGAAAGGACCTAGCCGATGATCACTTCATCTGAAGTTAAATTCCAACATCAAATTGCAATTTGGGGAAGTGGTGTGACTTTTTGCTGTTCTCAAATCATTTCCTATATTGTCAGAAACAGAAACACGATTCAGGTATCGTTTACTCGATATAGGTGTCAGACTCCACCCGAAAGTGGGATATACTCAACTTCGAAGATAGCTTAACAAAAAGTATTTGTCTACTGGTTTCAGTGGACCATCTAGAGACTTTAATAAAAAGCAAAACTAGTTGAAGAATTTCAAAAGTTGCGACGACTACATTTAAAATAGCTGAAGTACAACTAACATTAACTTGTAGGCTGCGTTTAGAACATTCATTGGGCCTGCTAAACGCTAGTAGGGAGCAATCGAGAGTACTTGGAGCTCAATTTATTGAGTGCGAAGAAAGGTACTGCTTACTCTTGTAGGGGAATGAGACTCACCACCAGAAAGAGGGACCGCACCTCTCATAGAATAGAATAGAAAACGGCTGAAGTGGTATTATTTGTAAATACAAAGAATACCACTTCAGTCGTAAAAGCAGTATAAAAAACGGTTTTGACCATTAATTATTGTGGTAGCATGTGTAGTTCTTAGGATCGATGTTTCACGCAAAGCAGTAAAACGTCAATCTCAATTTTGACGGGTTTTTGATCCCACTTCCCCAATCGTTTCCACTGATAAAGGCGCAACGACAAAAGTAGCGACAGAGAAGATATATAGAACGTCCGTAATCGACGTAGATGTTTTTCTAAATTAAAAATCAAATCGAGCGTGATCCGTGGCGATTGTTTTGGTTTCACATAATTGTAACGGTCCAATCAATTATGGATTTTATCACACAAAACTTCACCGAAAAAGAAATCGCTTGAAAGACCCGTTTGTTAACTTGTTTGTTGTTTATTGTTATTAATTGCTATAATTAATAGGAATGCTCGGGTTGGGCAATTTTTATCACACTTTTTTTTTGTCTTGCGATACCGGGCGAAGTCTAAAGCCAAACTGATAACGGTTCTAGTAGCAATCAGCGAAATATATGTTTCTCTCGCGGACAAGGAACTTTCCTGTTTTGTTTTAACTAACACGTACGAGGGCTACCTTTTATATTTCGGGATTTGTAATAAAAAAAAACTATAGGCTACCAACAAATTTGAGTTTATTGTTTTTCACCGATGATCAATACACTTTTGCATTCGATAAAACCAATCATCAAAGCAATTTTCCTACATCGATTCGGGCACCTCCAAAACCTGCTTTTTAAACGCATTAATCGCTTCTTCTGGTGTTTTAAATCGTTGCGCACATAATTTATTCTTAATGTATATAAGTAAAGATAAATCAATAGGTGCTAAATCAGGTCTATATGGTGGATGGCTCATCAAATCAACGTTTTTAATGCTCAAAAATTTCTGTGTTTGCACTGATCGGTGAGAGCTAGTATTGTCGTCGTGGAGAGTGATTCGTCTTCTGCGGTTGGTTTTTCACAAACCAATGGTTGTGTATTATTCAGAATTGACTGTTTTTCTTTTCACCAAAAAAACAGTGGCAATGTGACCAGTTTTCCGAGGCGCTTCGCGGGCGTGCTTGGAAGGGCCCCAATCGTATTTCTTTAGCATTTTCTTCAACCAATCATCACAACCCCTTTTTTGAACTGATGTCCAATTGTGTTTAATTGTATGTATGTATGCTGGCCCTACTAATGTGCAAAGATACCTTTAATCACGGTAAGTCACATGACGAACCTGCAAAATCAGTTTCCGGACTGCATCAATGTTTTCTTGGACAATCATGGATTTTGGACGACCTTCACGAAATTCATCCTTAAGAAAACTACGAGCACGACTGCAGTCCGAAAACCAGCGATAAACAGTAGTCCTAGATGGTGCTTTAACTGCAAAAGTGTTGAGTTAGTCCACGTCTAAAGTTGTAAAAAATTATTACACGACAATGCTCCCGATTTAGTTTTTTAATTTATCACAAAAAACACAAACAACACTCTTCTGCCAAAACCAAACTGAGTAAACCTAACCTCAAAATGTAAAATTTTCCTATAAAAACGTTAGCCGGCAGATGGCAGGACAAGTTTAAGAAAATCCCGAAATATAAAGGGCGCGGCCCTCGTAGCTCCTCTATACCTGGCGTTCCTCTGTCTAATCGTTAAGCGGTGTTAACATTTAAAAAATTATTTAAACTCCTTTTTAGAGATTTCCGTTACATGCTAGATTGAAATTTAAAGTAGCGTAGCTTTTCTTGTACATAAAAATTAGGTATGAGTATGAGTGTTTATGTTGTGAGTGAAAAATTTTATTTTTAATAATATATAATAATAATAATATTCATACGATGTTTTTAGGAACGCCCAATATATTCGCATTGTTTTTATTGTATATTTATATAGCCGTTGGTTGCAACCTGGAACTAAAATGAAATTACCTTTGTTTTCAGTTAAAAGAAAAGTCCATTGATTTTCTGGTACGTAGCATTTTCATTATTTATTTAGTAGACTTTAGGCGTTGTTTTCCCACACGTTTCAATCGGGGTAGTTTGTAAGTTTTTTTTTTTGTTATGCGTTTTTGTTTGTATAGATAGTTCCAGTTTGTAACCGAATCGATCGATAAATTTATTCATATTCCGAAATATTTCATAATTTGTGCATGTAACTTTAGGTTTGGTTTGGTTACCGCTGTTTTAATTTATTTTCCGCAATAGTAACGATATTTTCGAACGAAGCAGAACGAAAGAAGGGATAAAAGACATTTTAAATTACAAGACGTCGCGAGACGATCTAATTCGGAATTTTCCGTTAAATATTTGACAATCGACTTGGGTGAATTAGACGCCGCCAATTAACCCCCGGGATCAGAGGTTGGAAAGACCATTAAGCGTTTGATCTCGTCGGATGTTCCGGGGTTTACACGGCAGCGTAACGAATTTAAAAATGGTGACGGAAACCGCCTCTTTTTTCCGTTCTTATTTAATTCATTCCTTAAAGACGTTTAACTATGTTGATTTTTTAATTAAGTACGAGGACTAAGAAAGGTGCATTTAAACGGCTTTCGGAATTTTAAAATTGTTAACTTATTTATTTAGAATCAATTAAATTATTTATTTTAAGGCCACAATCTCGCTCTTCATGCGTCCCTTCTCATCGAAGATTAGCGATAATTATAGAAAATTCTGACCATATTTCCGCTGTCTTTTCAAGTATTTGAATTTTCTCCATTCTCGGATATTTTTGGTCGTAACATCTACCTTTGATCATCTGTTGCAGTAGGTATAGGTAGATGAGAACATGCCCAAAGTATTCCTTTCCATGTTGTAGTATTATGTAGTAGCTTTCTTCCTTGGTTCATACGGAGAAATACGGATTCAATCGATATGTCCACGATATTCTCAGCATTCTACGAAATATCCACATTTCAAAAGCTTGTCGTCACTTCTAGGTTCCAGGACTCAATTCGATGTAAGACCACAGAATAAATGTAGCACTTAACCATATTTAGCTGTTAAACATCTGTTACAACAGAATTACCTCTAAATCCTGGTCCAAAACTTCAGCAATTCAACACCCATGATACTTAAACTTAATACTTCTTGTGTCACTTCGTTATTGGCTCTAATGTTCATTGGCCGATGACCCTTCTTGGAAGAACCATAATTTTAGTCTTACCGACGAATGTTCTCAGTCGGTATTTGTGCAAACTGATGCAACTCTATACATTGGAATTATCGGCGCACCCTCATTTATTTTAACACCTTGCTTGTAGTTATTTAAAGCTTTTGAGAAGATCTTTTCAGAAAATATGATGAGGAAAAGCGGAAACAGAATGCAATCTTGGTCTGTCCCCCTGTTCTCCATTACGTTCTTACAGCAGCTAATTGCCTGTAATACAGGTTTGTTTTAATTGTAGGCAGAGACGAACACAGACTTCAGTCAATCTTCGGGCAAATTACCAGTTCTTTCCAGTTAAAAGACATAAGTTTGAGAAAACTTTCTAAACTGTACATGTGATAGCGAAATAAAACCCACTACAGACAACCTTGTAATGATCTGGTTAAAACTCCAAAACTCAGGAGCAGATAATAAGCTTCGATGTGCCATTTGGTGTGCGTGTATTATTTTCATTTGGCGCATATCCCATTAGTAATAAAAGACAACGGTATAGGTTCGAATTTATGATTTTTATGGAAATATTTTTGATTTCGCTTCCTCTTCAATCCGTCAATCGATTTTTCACCGTCCATTTCTCTCGCCCGGCAACCGCGATTTTTATAACATTCAAATCCAGTTTCATTCCAATTGCAAATATGGCGGCGTTTTTGAATACTGGACATGCACACACACTCACGCGCGCGCACACACGTTCGATTATAATTTCAAAACGTAAATTTCGAATAACTCGTACCGGGCGCCTCGGTGGACAAGTGAAAAGCGATCAGCAGGAAACAGAAACACGTTCCTGATTTGTATCGGGCCGTCGCAGCTAAATTTTTTTGATCGCCGCCGAACTGTCAATTAAAAAAAAATAGATGTCGCGTCGATCCGACTATGCGTCGTGGAATAGGCCAGGCCATAGAGAAAATGAATTAGTTCTGTGACAATAATGAGAATTGAACAATGCACATGTATTTTTAAATTGTAGTATCAACTGTACTGCACTGCCTCCGTGTTCAGTCATTTGTCTGGCATATGTTCGCCTGCCTCATAACTTTTAAAATTTTATAACATTTTAAAATGCCTTGAAATCACTTTAACTGAAACCAAAATTTGGGTCAATTTCAAACGATCTCAGATTTATATTCAATGTTTGTCACACCCTGTGGGAATTCCCATCTACACGATTAAGCGCAGTCTTATCTCGCCATTTTCTTTTTTATCCTTGACAATGACTTAGTCCATATTTCTCTGTAAATATTTTCTACATCATCCAAGGAGGCCGATGGGGTTTGACGATCTGTAAGCTACCAGCCAATACCATAAATGTTAAGTTAAGGTCAATATTTACCTCGTTTGTAATATCTTGAAGTAAGTGGTCTGGCATTATAGAACTCCTCTTGTAAAGCGGCAAAATTATTAATTCAGTCGAGAGAGACATGAAAGGCAAAAAGAAGGTGCTAAGAAACGAGATGAGGACATACATATTTTCCAATGGGGATTTGGAAAACTGTGATTCAACCGTAGCAGAGGATTTTTATCCCTTTACAGAGACAAATTAGACAAATTTGAAATTTCTATATGCAAAAAGACACGATTGACAGTTTCTGACCCAATATTAGGCAAGAAAATCATATAGTTTATACATGAAAATGGAGTCTCTGTTCGATACTTTCGAAACTTGTTACGTATAAACTACTATTATAAATTCTCAAAATTCCTACGAGTGGGATTTATAAAAAACACAAATAAATTAGAACAACAAATGTTCAGATTTTCACAATTATTTATTACTTTATGTTTAGACAACGCAAAATATGACAATATTCGGACATCTATATATATGATCAGGTAGTTCCTAATAGATCCATAATTACCGTTAAGTTTAATTGCTCATCAAGTAATAGATTCGAATATCTCATTTTGTTAATCTTCTTAGCTTCCAACAAATTTAGTTTTTTGCTTTTTGATTGATTACGTAAAATATCAAAATTATCATCAAACTTGTGTATTTCTGAATTTAAATGAATGGCATAGTTGCAATCCGAACTTTTATTTTTATACGGCCTTTTATGTTCGTTTCTTTAGATAGACATTTTTGAGTTTTCTGGTCGGGTTCTCCTATGTATTTCATTGTTTTATAAATTTTTGGGTTCGGTAGTTAGTTCCGAATTATTTGTAATTGTTTTTTAATTATAATCTTATCTAGAGTTCGTAACCATTGTTAAATGTTATTGTATATTAAGTACTCTGTGTAACAAAGAATAAAAGGCAGCCATTTTGTCTGTGTGAGGGTTCATTTGAACTATTATGAATTGCTGTGTCCGTGTGTGAGTGTTTATGGTAAATGGAAAAATATAATTTGTTGTTTAATTTAGTCCGGAAAATTTAAACAGTCATTAAGTCTCTAGGGCAAATTTCATACGCCTATGTATGAAGTGAATATGATTCAAAAAGGACTGCATTTTTTTTCCGTTCCAGTGAAACAAGCAAAAACACCATCTACAACCAAAGAAATATTTTACTCAGAGGATGTTTATGTATGATATTTTCCAGATTGTCCACGAAAATTTCTGCAAGTAGTGAACTAAGCGAGTTTCCCATAATTGATCCTTTTTTAGCAATATAAAACTGACCATTAAATTCAAAATAATTTTAACCTAAACACACTATTAAGCTATCTAACCAGTCTTGTTTTATGATAGGGTTGACTTGTCGAATGCTAGGAAATAGATTTTGGACATCAAAGGAAACTAGAATTACCTTAGGATGAATTTTAATATCTCTAACCTGGTTGATTAGTTCGAACGAATTTTTGATACCATATCTAGGTTTAAAGGCAATATGATATTCTAAAATTTTTATTAATGGTGTTGAAAGTTTAACTGATAGTGCTGTGACAAAAGAAACTACAGGACTAATTGGCATATCCTGTTTTTGTAATTAAATTAAAGAATATAACTTTGGAGGTTGAGGATTCAGCATTATTGGTTGGTATTAGTGATGAATCTGTAATTTCCACTTTGTTTTTGGTATAACTCAGTGGGATCATATCCTATACTTCGATATATATAGCTCATTTAAGAAACTGTTTGGTTTTGGTAATATATTCTAGAGAATCGATAGCTATGACTGTCTTTCATTTATCTGCTCTTGTAAATACTATATTATTTTGAGAATCCTTATTTTTAATTGATTTCACCATAGATATGTGAACGATCCTGGAATTTACTATTAGTTTTAAGTTGAGATTTTATTATTGTGTTAATGGATTTTCTTCAAGTCAAAGCCACCTCAGCCCAATTTTATTTAAAAAAAAAAAACTATCTCTATTGGTTGGCCATTTTTAGTATTTGCTTCAAAACGTTATATATATCCAATTACCGGTTTTGTAATCCAGTAGAAGAAAGACGTTTTATAACAACCGTTACACGATAGATTATCACCTTTTTATTCAGTTTAGTGGCTTCTCTGGCCACGTACGCTTCGCGTGCAAAGCGAAACACTTGCACATCCAGGGCGTTTTAAAATCGTCCTAGAGCGAGAGAATCACCAAACTGGAAGTTTTTTTCGTTCGATCAGATAAAATAAATCTCGTTTGTAAACCGAATTCTTCTACGTAGATATAAATCTTTTGACGTCTGGGCTAATTCACTTTGTTTAATAGGCTTTGCTTGTTTTCCACTCGATTTGATACCGGTATAAGATAATTATCCTATTTTGGATGAATTAATTATTGTTCTAAGTTGCGTCGTTGCTTCGGAAATCTTGTTGAAACGAAGGTCAATGCAAAAGTTTTCCACGAATGACGAAATGA